GGGATGATTTCTTAAAGTTAATTTAATGTACTGAATTGATAATTTTTTTTTTTTTTTTTTTTTTAAAGTAAATACACAAATTCCAGTTGTAATTTATTTCATTTTGATCTGTGGAAGTTTATTTTGAAAAAGCATTTTTCTAAATTCAATTTTATAACAAATAATTTTAATCAATATTCAATTTTCAATTTAAGTGGAAATCAATCTTGGCTTAAATATTTGTGTCCCATTTTTGTACAAAGAACAAATGTAACTTTCATGTTTGAACTAATGGAGTGGATCTTCTCTTGAAGAGACGGATTGAAGGCTGAATGGGACAAATGCATCATGATGATGATGAGTGCTATTGACATGTTAGGCAGCCCCTTGAGGTGTGCGTGTCGGTTGTGTAATAATATAATACACGAGCGCTGCAGTCCGCTCGGTCGGTGTGTGGGTATTAATACGCCTATAAATATTTTAAAAGCATTTTATATATCCGCGCTCGGCAATTAATATAAACACGTCCGAATGCTACTGGGTTTAATTTTATTATTTTCCCTGCAAGAATTTATTGACGCCGATTCTCGGAACTCATTCACACTCGGCAGCTCTCAGTGATTCAAGATTCTTACTTTTTAGGAGGAAAGGGCCTAACAGGATCTATTCTCGGTGCCATTTTTTATTTATTTTATGTGTATTTTGTCACACACGGTGACTCATTTTGCGGTTTGCAATTTTCGAAAAAAAGAAAAATAATAATAATTCGTCAACCACAATGGGAAAGAATAATTGTATCTGAATCGGTGTCTGTATTAATTTCTAGCTTTCTCTAACGATGTTGTTGTGTATCTCTTTCACGGTTATTAAAGATAAATGTGTGGCTTTGATGACGGCGATTAATGACAATCCCATCAAAAGTTAATACACCGTGCAGCCAATTAAGTTAAAATTATATTTCTGTCATGTGAATTTCGAACGGACACAGTACAATGCACTTCCTGGAAATTCTCAATTTTTATAATCATTTTTATAATAATCAAATTATTTAATAAATTGGAATGAAATTATAGATTGTTAATAAAAATTAACGCGATTCAGAGATTCTTTTTTTGATCACTAAAAATTTCCATAAATTCAGAGGGACAAAAGTTTGTTTATACTTCATAAATATTCAAAGTAAACATTAATAGCAAGATGAAAAACTTCAGTGAACTTAAGTTCAAAAAGCAATTTTCAACGATTAATGCCTCAGTATTATTGGATTTGTTGTTAGAAAAAACGTTTGATATTATTTAAATTAAAAAAGCTTTAGATTGGTTTATTCAGATTCAGATTCAAATATTTATTTAATATTATTTTATCTCATTAATTTGTATGGATAATTTTAAAACTTTTTCAATATAGATTTATCTTATAATATTTTTAATGAAGGTCACAATTGAATTTTTAATATCTCCAGTTTTTTTATGTACGCACATTAACGTTCCCTTTGCTTCTCTTGCATAATTTCAAATAACATTTTTTCAATCCATCAATACTCAAAATTACTCTCCCGTCAAACAATCACGCGCGCGGATGAAATATCTGAAGGGCCATTTAATTTTTGCAGAAAATGCGAGCACGCACAGAGCCTCTGCCAGAGAAACAATTTGCGTTTGGGTTCCGGTTAAAAATGATAAATAGCGCGGGCACGGCCTTTCATTTACTTTTCTCTACTAGTTATCTCACTTAAGTCGCAATTATACCGTCGAGGCATAATTACTGAAAAAATGAGCAAAAAATATATATATTTTTCGTTCGGCAAAAAAAAACAAAAAAAAACAAAAAAAATACCTCGGGTCAATGGCGAGCGAGAAGTTTCTCATTTACAAACTGCATTCAAATGTAAATATTCTCTCCTGCAGTAAAATATTAAAATGCACCGGCAGGCCTTTGTTTCGAAATCGATAATTTCCTCTTCCACGAACATCTAATCCACGGTCGTAAAGCAATTGCACGAGGAACATCTCGCCGGTTGACTTGCAAGAGAGTAAATAAAAGAAATTACTACATAATTTTTGTGTATGTGTTAATTATTTTTCATTGTTTTACGACGTGTAATTAAACACGGCTTTCCGAATGTGATATAATTGAGAAGTGCAGAGAAAAATTAAACAAACATGCAGTTAATCGCTTTTGCATTCCATTCTCACTTATACAATTGGAGTTTAATCATTTCGCCCTTCGTCGCAGGAATTATTCGGCTCATTGAGTTTCTCGTAATTCGCCAGCGAAGGGGAAGTTATAAAAAAAGAAATACCAAAGAAATCTTTATTGCAGTTCAAGGATGCGCAATTACCATAATAGTAATATTTTCTGCGTGCTTAATTTAGTTGTTTGGGCTCAATAATTTGAACATATGTGCGGAATTTCGCTCGGAGGAAAGTTCCTGGCGTGAAAGCTGAAATGAACAAAAACATCTGGCGAGTATACCTAAATAATTAGCTCGGAACAATAAAATTTAACTTAAAAAAAAAAACAATAAAACTGAACTTCAAAAGTGTTTATGTTTAATTCTATTTTTAAATTTTAATTGAGCTTTTTGATTAAATCGACTTATTTTAGATTTTATGGAACACAAATTTAACAATTTTCCGCAGATTTTTTTTACAAATCTTTTGGAGCAAATCCTGCAATTTAATTGACGCTCTGATTTGCATTAATTGGACATGAATTTCAACACTTGACGGTGTGCATAATCATTACACACTTTTATACATTCACATGCAAGAAATGCACTGCTCGCTGTTATTAATTTTAATTGCCACGCACGCCAAGAATGAATATTTATTTCGCTCTGCTCAATAAGAAAAAAAAAACTTGTGTAGTTAAAACGCAATTTTCCGTCGAAGATGAATAATAAGTTATTGTTTCGTCGAGAGAGACTTGCATCCTTTTACGGCCACTAACAAGTCATTCGCAGAAAGAAGCGATTTTCTTTTTAACTTGGGAACAAAGGAAATAAATAATTCTTTTAAAGGAGCAAAAGAGAATCACGATATAAAAATTTGCATTCGTGTCTTGAGGAAATTGTCACTATAAAGCAACCAAGAATATTTCAGTGGAATATAAAATATTAATCATTTTTTTTACTTTCCGCAAGACCACTATCTGCAGAGTAATTATAAAAACAAAAATGCGGAGAAACTTATTCCAATTAACCTCCAGACTGACTTCATGACCCAGGTAATGAGCACTTGAAGCTGATAAAAAAGGCAATGTACGTCATTTCCCTAAAAAGTTTTTATTGCATTCGCGGTGCGCGCATTATACTTGAATTGTGGCACTTAAAAATGAGGGTGCGATAAGTAGCGGTAAAAAGCAAGACAATTGCAACGAGAGACTGACGTGGATAATTTGTTATTGTTGTAAATAAGGTGAAAAATGAGCAGGATTTTTTGTTATTTACTGTCCTTTCCAGCCTCGACGGAGGAGGATTGAGGAAAGTTTGGAAGCTTCTTATCGTCTCGCTGGGCATGTAAAAATTTATCAAATTTTTAATTACCTGTAAATGTCCTTGAGACTACTTGATTGACATCGCGAAAGTCTGGCTATGCTCATTATTTATTTGGAGTATTTTTTATTATCAACTCGCCTGCAGAGAGAATTTTCCGGAACATTTTACTCCGGTTTTCCTGCTATGAATGAAGGCTCATTATATTGTGACCAAAGTTTGCGTTTTCTTATCTTTTTGATAACAAAGCACCTCTCACTCTCTGTCTGTTGCATAATATTTTTTGCCGAGTGAAAGTTCACATTTATTGAATAATTATATAAAAATTCTAGAATGTAGTGGAATTTCTAAATGAATTGATTTTTTTTTAATAAACTGTAAACATATAGCTTAAAAGTTTTATAAGGTTTATATTTTACTAAAATTCAAAATTAAATCAATATTATGATTAGTTTGAAGAGCACCATTCTAATTTGTTCTCTGTGAAATCAAAATTGGGATTTATTAACGGAACAGAACAAGCGATGTGTTATTTAAAGATATCAAGATATTATACATTCAATCAATCAATACATTTTACAGATTGCAAGAAACAATATAAATGATATACGCTTATATTATTTGGAAATTTTGCTTATAAAATTAAATTTATAATAATAAAACGGAAATTTAGCGTTGGAAAACATTAATCATGACTTGGATTAAAAAAGGCTCCTGCTACTGGTTAAACTGAAATTGTCTTTTAATTGTAAAATAATTAAGTGTTTTTTTCTAATATATAGACAAAATTTGAGAGTAAAAATAAATATAATGCTAGAGAGGAGTGGTCGTTGCGGAATTTTCCGCTGCTAAAGGAAATATTTTTACAACACAGCCTTGACAAAAATACTGCTGCTTGCCGCAAAAACCGTCGATCAAAAAGCGGAAAAGGACAGTAAATTGTGTCTTCCTTTTCACCGACTGAAAATAATGAGTTCAGTTTATATAACCTCTCATTATTTAATGTCCACAGTTCAAGTGCATAATATGCACCGAATGTTTTTTTTTATTTTAAATTTTCTTACAAATTTCTTTCTTGGTTCTCTTATAAAATGATTATAATGTGGCAGTTAAATAATAATTATAATATAATCAATAAAAAAAAATCCATTTGAATATCAGAGAGGCTCAATTTTTTCCCTGCAAAATCATTTTGATTTCAAATATATTATTTAATTCCAAATGGGATTTTTTTCTCAAAAGTAATTAATTAAGCAATATAACTTGTAACTTAATTTAATTCTTGTAGTTCAAATAGGCGTCAAGATTTTCTAATTGAAATTTCAAAGTTGGCAGTAGTGAGCAAAAAAAAATCCTGGTAGCGAATTTATATCGAGATAGAACACGGAAAAAAAATGTTAATTTTCATAAATAATTTATGGCAAAAATATTCAAAGGTCGATTTGGTACTTAAATTTGGCAAACGAGGATAAATATCTGTGCTACTTTTTTAAACAATATTGTAAAATTGCAGTTTGGCACTAACCTGTGAGTCTTTCCTTGACGAGGTGCGATGCAAAGGCGGCGCTGCGCTGGAGCGGGTCCAGCCACGGATAAGACGAGGCCGAGAGTTGCGGCACCGAGTTTGGCGCCGACGTTGGCGGCGGCCGGTGCGCCGGGACTCGGATGATGGCGCCGCCGGGCGCCGTCGCGTAGTGCAGGTTGTGTTGGAGGAGGCCGGGCGGAACTCCCCTGGCGCCGAACAGGTGCTCGTAGCTGGCGGCGTCGGCCCAGGCGGCGACGGCGGCGTCGCCCAACTTGGTGGTCTTCGAGTCAAAGTCGGCGCCGAGCAGCCGCGAAATGCTGAAGGGCAGTTTGGCGTGTGGATCTTTGGTGCTCATGATGGGCGCCGCGTCGGCGTCGCTGGCGGCGCCGTCGCTGCAGCTGATGTTGCTGTCCGAGTCAACGTTGATCTCCTCGTCCCCGCTCACCGACGACATGTTTTTCTAAAAAAACAAACTTTGTTCCGGTGAAATTCTAATAACTTTTTCGGAGAGGAACTCTGAGTTGCGGCGCGGAGAACGGGCTGGCGAGCACTGCGGCCGCGGCCACATGGCTCTGCAGCGCCGGGCGGTCGGGGGCGGGGCTTTGGCGCCGCGTGCGGCCCCGTTGGCCCTGCCACCGACCGCCCTCGGGCGCCGATTGGCCGTCAAGATCGGCGCCGTGATCAATGGTTATTACCGCAGAGAGCTTAATTAGATAACCAAATCATCAGCGCGCAACAGCCTGCTTTTGCGAATCTCTCTCGCTCTCTCTCTCTCTGCAAAGAGCAAATTTAATTTGCGTCTCGATGCGGCTGTCGATTCTGCCGCTCTGCTCCACTGTTGTCGATTCTCTGAAATGCATAAAAAATATTATTCTGTTTTACTTGGATTAAAAATAAAATCATTGCAGTATTTATAGAAGAGAAAATTATTTTAAAGTAATGTATTTAAATAAATAAGTAATATTACTTACTTTTTATTGTTTCTTATAATGATTGAAAAGGTTATAATTAATGCAGGAAACTTCACAGCAGTCTGTTAGGATTTGCGCGAATTAAAACGTTTCAGAAAGCATACGGAAAATCTCTCAAAAATGATAAGATAAACTGAATAAAACTTGCATATGAGAATAAATAAGATCTTTACTTTAAAAAAAAAAATTAACTATGAATTACATTTAAATATTTCCTATACATACTTTGATATTATTTGCGGTTTTCTTTATTATCTCATTCACTGACAATGAGAGCAAGGAAATAGGTGACAATTTTGCTGCTGAAGATCGCCTAGAAAAATGGAAGTTATGCAACCTGCTTGGTCTTCGTGGCAACAGTGGTTGCAGCCCTTCCCTACTCTCTTTTGCCACATTTTTTTTCAATCCGTTCTTACATGTAGTGCTTCGAAACTTTCAAGATGAAAACTTTTTATCCCTGATACAACATGATAATGAATTTGACTGCGAGAGTTGTGAAAGATAATTGTACGAAATACTTCCAAGAGACTCATCGAATCATTAATTTTGCCAGCACAATAATGATTACTGCAGGCTAAGTATATTTTTATGATTATTTTTTTACACAATTGAGGCAATTTTTGTAACTTATTTTATTTTATTACAAAACAGGCATATCATAATTATGTTTTAGGGTTCAAGGCAGAAATATAATTATTGTTTTTTTTACAATTAATTTTAATTCAAATTTTGTTGGAAAAATGAGTGTTCAGTTTCAATTATCATAATGCACTGATATTTAAGATATTAAACATAGTATTGTATCAAATAAATTTAATTCGTATTTAACGTTTTGCTTTGTTAATAGGTATTTATTGTTCGACAGGCTGGTATTAGCCGTTGAAAATCATTAAAAAAAAACACAATCTCAGCGTAACATTTAAACGATTTTATTTTTATAAGGCCTAATGCAAACAATATTTTAATGTCTCAATTTAGAATAAAAAAAAAAACTTAAAAAAAGTCTGAATCTAGTGGAAATATTCTTATATTATTGATTAAAAACCATTCCATCCGAGCGAAAATTATATTTTAAATTTGTTTCAATACGGTCAATATAATACATGAATATAATATTAGGAAAAACTCAATTCAAGTCACGTAGTAGCCATAATATTCTCGATGGCCGCCTCTGAGAGATATATTTTGTTGTTTTTGAGCGTCTGTTGCGGTTTGCCATCTGGATGCGTCACAAAATGAACCTCGTATGCCAAAGAAAGGTCCTGGGAGTAAAAAACCTCCGAAATAAATATATAAAACTAAAATGCTTTAAATCTTTCCTCTTCCTGCCAAGGACAAAAAATGTCCTCTTAAATGCGGTCTGCACTTGAGGAGGGAAAAGCAGAATTTGATCATAGGCACCTGCTGCTCTTTCCGCTGAACGATTTGAGCAGCAGAGAATATAATTTTTTTGTCATTTAGATTAATAATAACAGGGGCATTCATCATTCGAATCGAAATCATTAGAGGACGTGAGAGGGACAAAAAAGCACTGCGGGATGACATTGAGATTTCTGTCATGCGTGAAATATGAAAATCGTGAAAATTCATCGCACACGTTCTTATAATTTTAATACCATGAGAGACGAAAATGAATTTTAGGCCCGTGGGAAAGAAGCCAAATTTGAGAATGTTTTAATATATTATAATTAAAATTAAATGAAAAATTATCCAGTTTAATTAAATTGATTATATTTGTAAAAGTTTAAACACAAGTAAATATGCACCATCAAAAATTATTTATTTCAATAATAATTTTATGGAATTAAAAAACAAATCTGAATTTTTATATCAAGCTTTGTGGGAAAAATTCCGAATATTTAAAATTCGGACAAAAATAAAGAAAAATGCAAATCAGCAAAATGGATTTTGCGCTTTTATTTTCGTCTTAATTGGCGAATCCACTCTAGAGCAGAGAGACACGCACTGATATATTAGATGTTTTTAATGCGCTTTTGTAATAATTATTCCGGTAGCGTGTATGTTGACGTGGAGAGTGACTGCCGATCCAAATAAGCCATTAATTTGACGCCGGCAAGTTCGCGTGTAACATACTCATAAAATATATTTTAACATCTTAATTCGTCGCTCATCTATTTGCCGTTTAAGTGCTGTCATTGATTTGGCGTGATGTATTTTTACTCACGTGAAGCCTTTATATATGTACACAGGCAAAATTTTTTAAAAGCCTCTTAGACGCGCTCGTCATAAAAGTTAAAAAGCTGCTATAGCCAAACGAGTTTTCGTTTGCCTGAAACGAAAATGCGCATTAACAACTCGACACACACACGATCGCACATCAGCAAATAAATACACTAGCGTAATAAAATATTATATTAAGCCCCTGCGTGAGAGATGATTGATCGATCACCTATTCAACATTACACAGCGTTTTTATTTTATTAAACGTTTATCGCACCTTTGGTAAAATTCATTTGGGCCAGATTTTAAAAGAAAAAAATTTCATCCAAAATCTCCAAATTAAAATCAACTAACATTTTAACAAAATTCTTGAGGATTAGCAATTTTAAGTACCCGTTATGAAATTGGTGTACATTTTATTCGAAAACTAATGCTTCTAATTCTTGCAAACAAAGTTTTTTTTTACATCTAATAGGCTAATTTATCTACCGTACATTTATGACGATAAACGTTTTTATGAAAAATTTATTTATTTTATGAATTCAAGTATTTGCAATGAAAAAGCTATTTCTATGAATAAAACCAAGACATGTGAGTATAGATATAAATTAATATCATAAGGAAAAAGGCACAGATATATGTGAGACCTCGCATTACAGTTTTGATATTTCTTTTTAAATTGTGTATCATTCTATCCCACGCACCGGAAATTGAGTCGCAAGGTTCCTCTGCTTAATTTTCCTGCGGTCGTTACGAACGAAAGAGACGCAGGTTTTTCATAATGAAAGGTCGGTTAATTTTCCGGCACTATTACAGAGAGGCCGCGCGGCAATTTCGCTGGGTGGGTGTGTGAGAAAAATACAGCACCATATTGTCTGCTTTTTCTCGTGATAATTGAGGCGTATTAACCTTCTGCCGCCGCTTGCTCCATTACCGAGGGAAGGGTACAATAAAAAATAATGTATAATTCCGAGCGAGTGCACGAAAGAGAGAGAGAGACACGTAATGAAGCAAATTGGAGCGAAATTGGGACCCCACAGGTAATTTCATTCTTGCCCGTGTGTCTCTCCTATAAAAGTAGCGTTTAACTCGCAGTAAATGCATGTCAAATCGAGCTTGGATTTTAATTTTAGTCTTTTGTTTTCATCACGAACTCTCTCTTGCAACACGGGAAATAAATTGTTTTGGAAAATTTATACTTCCTAATTATGAAAATAATCTGGTTTAAAGAGAAATTCCAAAACAAGTTTTTCTTGTAAAACTTTTTTTTAATTAAAATTTAATTGGATTCATTACAATTTTATTCAATTGATCGTTAATTAAATTTTCATAATTGTGAATCGCCTAATGTTATTAATATGGAAATTATAAATTTGTACAAAAGGACAATTTAAAGTCTTAATTAAATACAATTAATTTAATTAAATGCATTTAGCTTATTAAAATTCAATGAAAAAACTGTTAACTCTGATAGGGCACATAATTATCTGAAAACATTTTAATAAGTGAAAATAAGGAAAGGTTGTTTAAAGTCTAAAAATCTGTGATTGGTTGAAAACATTCCTCCACCACGCTGCTATTGGTTGATATCAGAAGCTAGGAAGCCTCTGTGAAATTCCTTATTGCAGTTTTGTGCATTATACATTTTAAATTATTCAATTCTACCGCATCTCACTTTCATCTTGTACATTTTACATAATAAAACCAGAATGAAACAATACCAAAGAGCCAGACAGACGAGAAAAAAAGGAAAACCGAGTGATTGCGGCACGATTTAATTTTCACGCACAAAAAGCTCTCTTACAAAACGCCTGATGGCCGCTTTTATGGTGTATTATTTTTCGATATTGATGTCATTAAGTTTGACCTTGGGCAGGAAAGGATTTCAAATTACACATCTCACGGCGAGCCCGAGAGACACAAAATAAAAAAAGCGGGGATATATCAAGAAGAGCAATTTGTAAATAATTCTTGGTGTGTGCCTTATGGGAGGGAGATGAGAAAAAGGATTGCTTGATTTGGCGGTCGACGGATAATGCAATCACGTCTCTTTCATTTCGATCGTCTCTTCAATTTGTGGTATTTCTCTAAAGAGACGCACAAATACATACAAACATTATGTATTTCAAGTTTCAATTATTGCAGCAGGTTTTTAAAGGAGGAAAAACAATAGAATTATTTAAGTCCCAAAGCAAATTACGGGAGGCAATTTCACAGTTGACAAAGTTTTAATTTCCCTGCTCGTTTGGAGTGAATGGGTGGCCGAATAACGTGACATTTTTAATTGAGGGGTAATGAACACAACTGGCTCACAAAAATGGCCAATTAACCGTTTCTGTCATCAAATATAATATACCGGCAAAATTCTTGTTATTAGAGGGCA